AACATTTACTGATACTGATGCTGAATTTCAAGATTAGTTGTTTATAACTTTTAAAAAAATGTTGTTGCTCGTCTTACACCAGTACTGATTTTCCTTTAAACGGTAATAATGCATTGTTTGTAACACAAACCGATACCGAGGTATTCGGACTTTTACGACAGAATTATTATAGGAGCATATTAACAGAACAATTTTCCTTTTAGTTAAATGAGAGTCACCAGTGTTGGGATATGTTTTACAGCTATATGAAGTGAAACAATAATATCCAAAAAGAGTTACTTTTTTTAAATCACAGCTTTAGGAAGTAAGGAACTGACACCTACATTTGCTTAAGAAGCTGACAGAAGCACAAATGCAATATCTACTTAACCAGAAAACAAACCACAAAAGCTGTGTTTTTCATCTCTCATTCAAATAATCAAATAGGAGAGTGAATAACACACATGCATCACATTTATCCACTTACAATAAGACAGAAATTTAAACCAATATGCCGTTGATTTGAAGGTCGGTGACACAAGAACTTCTTTTAAGTTTGATTTAAACTTCAGTCGTCATAGCTGCAATTCCTAGCTAATGGTATAAATCAAAGCACCACCAAGTTGTTAACACCATTCCATTATATCATTGTCAAAATCAGAAATTAGAAGACTTTTCTTTCTATCAACTCTTGCTCGGTATCAAACCAACAGAAGAAGTTAATTTAGACCAGTGAGGCCCTTCCAAGTTCAAGCCTCTGATGAGATCTTAAGGATTGTTTGTTTTGCTGCTGTCAAAGGTTCCAATAGGGAGAAGAAGGAGGTTTTGATGACCCCTGGCCCTCAGGTCCTAAGTGGGTGTTCTGCAAACACTCCCTATTGACATGTGGATAAGGAGAGGCCCGCTGCCGTGCACAGTACTTTGCTCATTTGAGTGGAAATGGACACTGCTATGAAAAGAGCCAAGAACCAAGCAAGTGGCTGAGAAGATAAGGTTATACGTAACAATGTTGTGGTTGCCGTGTGTGTGTGTGTGTGTGTGTGTGTGTGTGTGTGTGTGTGTGTGTGTGTGTGCATGGAAATATATAGGAATGAAAGAACATGCTTTCTATGAAGTGTTTTGGATGTGAAAACAGGAAGACTGCTACAGTATCTGTGTATGTGTGATGTATATGAGTATCCAGTGTGTGCCAAAGATGTGTAGGTGAAGCCAAGCACTAAAAAAAAATGCACTTTAAGACCACTTAATAAAGAGAAACTATGCTATTGACAAACAATGACTAAAGTTGTGTATGGTGGCACATAGGCTGTACACTATCTAACTTAATTCAGCTGAATCTCTGTCATGGCAATTTGTGAAGCAGGTTTCCCTGTAATCTGGTAAACACAGGCTGTGATAAGACACTCTGACAAGAGACAAGCCAAAAAAAACAGTAAGACAAAAAAAAAGTGTGAGGTATAAATACTGTATGCTGTACATAAGATATGGAAAACTGCTCTCTTTTAACTGTTTGTTTGTCTTTTGAACACATATAACTCTTAAAGGAATGATATTTCTACTAATACACGCATCGTAAAAACCTGCTTGTTTTAACTCTCTGAAGCCCAAGCAGTTACTGGGTGTTTTTTGCTCCTGTCACATTTTTTACTGAATTTGGGTTAATTTCTCACTGCGATGTAAAGTACCACACCTCTATTAAAACAGCAGAACAATAGCTAGAAGTAGAAAGAACTTGATGTCTTTCACACAGCATCAGGAAGTTATATTGCCATTATTCACAAAAAAAGTTGGATTTCTCTGATGTTTTTTTTTCTTTTTTTAATGGAATCAACATGTACAATATTTTTCCAGGTGTCCATAGCTGTATCAATACTGGAAGAAGAATAGTAACTCTGGATACTGAGGATGTTTTACTACTCACATTTTTATTTGTTTTCATACTCATCTGCTCTGTGCAAACACAGCCTGCAGTTAAGCCGAAATGTTCTTGAATTTTTGTCATGACGCTTGCTCACAGCTGAGTTAAAGCTTCTGTTATTTTATGTTTTTTACATTATTTGATTAATCCAAGCTGTATTGAGCATATTTTTAAATGAGATGTACAGAATATAGCGATTTTGATGAAAAATCACCATTTTAAGCTTAGATTTGGTTCATTTTTCATACAGAATTTGCACTCCATAGATGAGTAGTTCAAGGACTGTCAGAAAGTCGAAAATCCAATGATTCCTTTTGTTTTTAAAGTTTCTGGCTCTGACTACAGATAGCATGCCTGTCAAACTTTCTTGCTGGTTTTGTGGTTCAAAGGGTTAATTAATAAAAACCCACGTACATAACAATTATTAAAATAATAAAAAATGAAAATGATTTTATTATTGATGAAATTAATAAATTAGTTTGTCTTGGAGATATGGGTGTGCTGTGTGTGTGTGTGTGTGTGTGTGTGTGTTCTTGATATGTAGGCCAAGTAGGAAGTGACCCATAAACATATCCATCCAGCTCTTTCATTGGGGGCCAGTGTTGCCCTCCTCATCCCTCCCCATCTCACTGCATGCACACACACACACACACACAGACACACAGACACACACACACAGAGACACACACACGCACACACACAGACACACAGACACACATACACACTCAAAGCCCCCAGTGAGCGCTAAGCAGGCCAGCGGGCCAGCCGAGGGGGCTCATTACAGGTCCACAGAGCCCCCCAACACAAAGGCCTGAGCCGCTTTAGCCATGGGATGATCTGCTCTCTACTGACTAGAGAGAGTCCATAGACGGACAAAAGGAGGGAGGCGAGGGAGGGGATGGGAGAGAAAGAGGTGGAAGAGAGCAGAGAAGAGGAGAGGAGAGGAGAGCCGCGGGCTTTAAGGATGTCAGGAGACCCCGAGAGAGAAAGCCTGGCGGGCGCTCAGAGAGGAACGGAGGGAAGGAGGAGGAGGAAGCTTAAGCTCCACGGCTACGTCAGGACATTAACATTCACACAACCTCCCAACATCTGCTGCTTCCTTCTCGCCCTCCATCCCTATCTCCCTCTGCCCGCTAACAGCACTGGAACAAAGACTGTAAGACAGAGAGTGAGCGACAGATAGATGGAGAGGGACAAGAGAAATAAAAAATAGTGAGAGCAAGAAGAGATGTGAGCCAGATGAATTTAGATGATTTGGCAGCAAGAGGCTTAGCAGCTGCAGGTTCAGAGGACTTAAGAAAAAAAATGATATCGCCAATATTTGTAATTACACAAACATGATTTAAATTACCAAGGGCACATAATGATTACTCTCAATACTGATAGAAAGCACCTGAAAACAGCAGTGAGATGAAAAGATAAATCAGTCCGAATATAAACTTCTTTATCAAGTTCAAATCTGTTGTCCGTTTGTATTTTACTGTAGGTCTTTATGAGTGACGGGATCACGAGCACCCTAAGGCTTGATACGGGCCGACCTGGGCTCTACGGTGAAGACAGTCTTTCACTGAGCCATAAACCTGCTTTTTTGGAAGCCTCCAGGAGAGAGAGGAAAGCCAGAGCCACGTCCAGCGCATTAAACCCTCTGCTTTAGTCTTGCGTCTGGCCCTGGGCCTGCGTCTGCACCAGTTGGGCCCGATACACTCAAAGCCACATGCTCAATTTTATGATGCTTCACCACCATTAGCGCAACATTAGCCTTGAGGTGTCCGGGCAAGAAGTGTGGGGTGTCTGACATGCATAAGAATACATATTAGAGCAAGGAAAAACTTTCATTTCTCTAAACTTGACTGTAAAACAGAAGCTAAACTGTCCCCAGTCCGAAAAAACACTCCAAACTCCACATGCAAACCATCAATCTGAAGTATGATGAAGCATTTAAAATATGCCGCACAAAGTTCAAATCAGTGAAATCACATCAAGGGATGGCAGTGTTGTTCTGTGGCCTACACTAAGGCAGAACAAGTCTTAAGTGAGGTAAGTATGTGGCTGGTGGGTGCTTTATAGATGATGTATAGATGTCTGGTTCTTTCATATATTTCCTGTGGTGAAATTAGAGCCCTGTTCTGAAGTGCAGTGTGCATGTGCATGTGTGTGTGCGTGCATGACTGTAAACACGGAGACATCTTTCTCCACAGTCAATCTCTGCCTGTCACATCTGGCTCGCAACTCTACCCCTCGAATACACACTGGAATATATACACCGTGTGCATGGTGACATCTATGACTTATGTACTGGGAGGAGTGTTTGAAATTAAGCTGCAGTGAATATGGGCCCAGAAGCACTCAAAGCGGAGAGTGTGAGTGTGCATTTGTCTGTGTGTGTAGTAGATAGTTGTAAATGTGTGCAGGGAGGGGTGCTGTGAGTAGGAACACAACCATGAAACCCGTCCACGTCCACAGCGGAGCGAACATACTGAGACTGTGGCTCATTCCCAAAACTTCAGGGTTACAGCAGTGGAACATGGTTCAAAAATGAGGTTTTCCTATTTTAAATTTCATTCCCCAATATATATTGAAATTCACACATTTTCTCTCAAGCGGCTTTACAATTTAGATTTTGTCGTCAAAACAGGAACTACGCTGAAAAGGCTTCACACTATTACATTTGAATTTTAGTTTTTTTACACACACTTGTGTGTTGTGTGGGTTGTCCCGTTTCATCAACAGTCAGTGGTGACCTCAATAAATGACCAATAATCACCATAAAACATTGAGATGCTGCAGTGTGTTTCGAAATATATCGCACATGTAAATACGGTGCAATACTGCATAGCCCCCTTTGATACCACAGAGGTAGATTTATGAATGAAATCAGATATGGATTAAAAGCTTGACAGAAAATACCCATTTAAATCTAGAAAATATGTGATTGAGCACAGTGAGGTGGACTACAAACTGAGGCTCCACTACACAGTATTTTCTCAACCTGCCTCCAAATTCACTAAATGAGTGAGCGTCCGCAATTGGCACATGTCGGACCGTGGCAACAGTTCAGAACCACGCTGTGACAAAAGGAGAAACATTATTATCATCCACTTACCTGCAGCCTGCAGGACCATATGCATTCGGACTTTAGCCTGCTCTGCTGGAGTCTGCAAAAGAGGGATGAAAAAAGGGACAAAAAAAATGAAACTGAAAATTAGGCAACAGTAGCAAAGTGATATTTTAATGGGAGTTTGTTATTTTTCTTGGTCAGAAGTCTGGGGCCGTTACAGAATAGCTGGTAGGCAGAGTGTGTTGCTTGAGGGCACGTTAAACAGGGCAGACACTTGTTGACACAAAGGCTCTCCAAATTGTTCTTTAAAAGGATCATTTACCCGTTTACTTTGCTCTTTCCCACCCTGCTGCCTGGGATATCACACAAAGCACACTTCGTGACAGGACACACAGCCGCCACGCTTACACAACTTCATCTATGAGATCCGGCTCTAAAACAGCTGTGTCCCTTAGGCTAAAATATATTTTACCCATGATAATCTTTAACTGCAACCGTTAGAGTGAATGTTCCCGTAAACTGTCCTCATAGAGCACCAAGGGACAACTTCACCAAGCTACTCGTCTCGTCGTCTGTAAAAACCCTGCCAGTGAAAAAAAACAGAAAGCAGCATCTCTGACACACCAGGGAGAATCAATGAGGAAGAGATGAAGAGAAATTTAGAGACAAAGAAAGGGAGAGAAGTGAGAGGGGAAGAGAGAAAACAAAAGCTGCTGTAACAAGTCTTTGGAGAGTTGGATAAGAGGGCACAGAGAGCACATTTTACAAAGATCACAGCCAAAGACTCAACATATTCCCCTTCCCATGGTGTGTGTGTGTGTGTGTGTGTGTGCATGTGTGTGTGTGCCTCAGAAACATTTAGCGGGCATGAACGGGGGAGGGTCTTGTGCTTTGACAGCTGTATTGGGAGGCATAGCCTTTTTTTTTTCCCTGACATGCCCTCAAAAGGGCCTTGCTGTAATTCCAATATCGTTGCTATTAGATTTGAGGGTCTTAATTGTCAAGGAAGAATGATGGCTACGACAGGGCATGAAGCTATAAAAGGCGAGCGTGCTTGCAGATTGCTCTCGGAGGTTTTTTGGCGCCGCCGTGGCAAAGCGGCCCTCGTTACCATGCAGCAGCGGAGACTGTGTGTAGGATTAGAGAGAAATTAAATGCTAATGGGGATGGGATCTGAATCCGCTGCCTGGGAGCATCATTTAGACGACAGGGCCGGGGCGTCGCTGACAGGCAACGCTTCCTCCCTCCGCCTCCCCACCGCCGCCGCCTCCTCCTCCACAGACAACTCCGGCTCTTCCTCCTACCATTCCATCTCCTGACTCCCCAACCCCACGCGCAGCAAAAAATCTGATTTATCAAACTGTAAACTTGTCACTTTGTAAAAACGTCACTTTTCGGTGGCAGTCGGGGGAAATATAATGACCCCCTTTAATGTGGCGATGTCAGGATGCTGTATCCTAGATGGAACGCACATCAAGGCACTGCACAGACACAGACTGAGGCAGACTTAATGCAACATGTATGTGTGTGTGTGTGCATGTGTGTGTGTGTGCGCATCCCCGGTAGCAGGTGACACAGTGGATCACACTCACACCGACTGGTACTGCTCGACAGACAAAATTACCAATCACTTTTACACCAGAGAAGAGCAAGAACACTTGAGGCCTTCATCCACGCACACATTCTTCATTCACATTCATGAAGAACTGATTAGGCAATAATTCAGTCTATTTGTTTTTCCTTCTTCTTTTGGTATCTTTGCATTCACAGGGACAGCATAAAGAGGGATTACATGCCACTAAATAAAAGTGCCGGGACAGGATTTGAACACCGTTTTAATGGTGCCGGGCTTACAATGACATGGAAATCAGTATTGGTACAAGCAGTCACTTAAAGCAATAACACATCAGTGCTTAACTATCCTGATCATTGTGTGCTGTGCAATCATCTTAGTTACAGTTTATTACAACGCCCACTCAGTAATTACATTAGCATTTGTTTACATTGGCCTTGAGGCATGTGTTAGTCCATGCATCCTAAATGCACGCACACGCACCACCACGCTCCTGCCAGCTCCTTAAGGGGTAATAAAACACTGAATCACACCGCTGCTGCTACTGTACGCTGTCTGTCAGGGTTGAAACTCCCAAGTAACTTTCTTTTTCTTATGAAATTAACCAGTGAAATCTAAGCAACTATTTCTTAATAACAACAACAACAACAACAGAAATTGGATTGTGGCCAGAGGGGCGCAACATGCTTGGTAGCTTTAGCAGAGAGCATGAAAGCTATTTCTGCCCAGTGTGATCCTGTGTTTGAATTGCCCTTTAAATAAATGCAAAAGGGAGAAAGAGAGAGAGAAAAAAAAGCTGAAAAACTGTATGCCTCCTAACTACAGTACTAAATGGAAGCTGACAGGATAACAGGCTAATTATTATCAAATTATCATCACAAGTAATGTAAAAGGTACTCAGAAGTCATCGCACAATAGGCAAACATAATGACACATAGCACACACACACACACAAGTACACACACGGTATTGCATGTTTTTGTATCCCGACAAACTCTCTATTTTTCACTCTAATTCACACATGCACGACCGCTCCCTCTGTGTGTAATTCATTAGTAAACAATAAAAAGGCATTAATTGTGCTCCCCAGAGGCAGATCTGTGTTCCCCCCACTGGGAGAGAGGCACCCGCTGCATCTGAAGTGGATTCGCCCCTCAATTAGAACCGTGCCTTTTCCGACGTACACAAACAAACATGAGACACCAGGAGAAGGATTGTGTGATTGTGTGTGTGTTTGTAGGGTGGCAGTGTGACTTGGAAATGAGCAGTGCTTTCCTTGCAGAGGCTTTTAGATTATCACACTGTGAGAAAAGGGGGGAATAACAGACAGAATGGGACAAAAAGATAAGAAAGGGAAGGAAAAAGTTGCTTTTGTTTTTTTTTGTTTTTTTTCAAAGATTCAGAACGAATGCAGACAAAAAGAAGGGGAGTGTGAAGACGAGGAAAGGCAAGAAAGACCTTAAAAGATGATGAAGAATACAGACACAGAGGGGACCAAAGACAGACAGGATCAGACACAGCTGTCAAATAAGAAGGTTTTAGAAAGAAATATAGAGACTTTTACTATTTAATGGGGTTATGTTACAGAGCCATTCATATGGTAAATGGGCTTCACTTATATGCTGCAGCGCTGTTAACCTGAGAACGGAACTAAGTGCTTTACAATACCTCTGATTCACTCACACACACACAACGATAGTGGTTGAGCTGCTCTCTAAGGAGCTGGACTGCTCAGTGGGAACAACTTAAGGTTCTGTGTCTTGCTATAGGACACTGCAGGCAACAAGACCCACCACAAACCCTACATTAAGTGACCTTTGCTAACAGACTCACAGCCGTCTTAAAAACACAAGTATGTTCAAAAAGAACTACTTCACATGACGTGTCAGCAAACCTTCTAGATGACATTGAAACACAGGATGAAAGAGAAACATGAAGCAATGAACATGTGAACCCTTGGCTATATTCAGGTTTATGTCACTACCTTTACTTTTAAGCTCTTATCGTGCTCATCATAACGCCTACTCATACATGTTGGTTCTTGTTTTCTTCACAGCAGTCTAGGCTGTCTACATATTTCATCATTGAATACAGTAATATTTTCAGATTGTTTGGTTTAATCTTCATATCTTGTAAAGAGATTTTATGTTATGAAATTGCAATGTTTTTGCATGTCCTAACCGTAAAATGCTGACCATAGAGATATCTTTTTATGTGTAGAGGACATTGTCTGAAAACTGGCAATATCAGAACCACGATGGTCGGATACTCTCAAGTGTCTCAGATCAGTGCTGCCTGTTTGTGTACATGTAACCTCTGTACATCTTTTAAATCATGACTGCAGTGAAAGGCAATGAAAACTAAATCAATTATTTAGCTTATTTTCCAAACAAAGTGAGAAACAACGTAGGCCCCATGTTGGAGACAATGCCAACATTTGCTGTCATTTCAAAACCAAATTACTCAACAACGCTTTGTTACACAAAGGAATGACTAGTATCAAGTAATAGGTAAGCTAAATTTGGTACATTATGAAATAACAGGGACTTTGTGGTTTATTCAACAAGCATGAACATGGGTAAAGAAACCAGCAGAGGCATTACTTTGCTGAGATTTGACGTGTCTTCGGTATCATTTCAATATGTACAAATATGTAACAAGCATCATTACAAAGCTCTGGTTCTGCTCCTTCTTTTTATATGTGTTCTTTGTCTATACAATGACGGCTTCATGAGCAAATCAAACAAGAGTAATGGATGTGGAATTGTATATGCATCCTGACCATGACTAAATTTGATTTAAATTACAAATTATTTTTCTCTCCAAGGCTTTGTTGCACAGACAAGCAACTGGCATCATTGAAAAGGCCAGGTTGTTAAGTTTCATTTGATACACTACACCTCACTGCAACAAACGCTTTGAGAGCAACTCAACCCTGAGGAAGGGATGAGAATTTCACTCAGTTTTTAAGCGTTAAATATCTAAGTATCACACACTTACTGACCATTGTTCTTGGAAGCAATTCAGCGGGTTGGCACTTGGTTTTAGAAATGAAAAATGAGAGAAATTGCATTGTAAAAAAAATCAAAGACAGCCTGATAAGAAAGGTCAAATCCCGTCAACTTTCTCCACACACCTGAGCAATTGCTAAAACCATCCTACGAGCACTTTGGTTGGAACATCTCAACATGTTATGTGTTGCCCCCAGTTGGTAAATCTGGCAATGATGACTTCTTTAGTTGTATGCATCATAAATGTGAGATAACTGCCTCTTGAAAAGAGCAGGAGCCTTCTCTTAATGTATCAAACAACAAAGGCATTACATTTTTCCTCCTTTCTAACCCTTTCTAATGGTGTAAAGAACACCCTTTTAAAAAACATCCTCCTTTTCAAGCAGCTGTCATAAAAGAATCTATTATTATATGGCTATTTTTTCCAAGAGTGACACCCACACCCGCTTGATTCAGACTGACTCTTGGCCTAAATGAGCCAGGAAGTCCAGTATGCCCACAGTAGGCCTCCAG